TCATGTGTTTGTTGGCAATCTGTATATCTTCTTTGGAGAAGATATACAGATTGCCAACAAACACATGAAAGGATGCTCAACATCACTAATCATTAGAGAAATGCAAATCAAAACTACCTCACACCAGTCAGAATGGCCATCATCAAAAAATCTACAAACAATAAACGTTGGAGAGGGTTGGAAAAAAGGGAACCCTCTTGCACTTTTTGTGGGAATGTAAATTGATACAGCCACTATGGAGAACAGTATGGAGGTTCCTTAAAAATCTAAAACTAGAACTACCATATGACCCAGCAATCCCATTACTGGGCATATACCCTGAGAAAACCATAATTCAGAAAGAGTCATGTAGCACAATGTTCATTGCAGCTCTATTTACAATAGCCAGGACATGGAAGCAACATAAGTGTCCATCGACAGATGAATGGATAAAGAAGATGTGGCACATATATACAATGGAATACTACTCAGCCATAAAAAGAAACGAAATTGACTTATTTGTAGTGAAGTGGATGGACCTAGAGTCTGTCATACAGAGTGAAGTAAGTCAGAAAGAGAAAAATACCGTATGCTTACACATATATACGGAATTTAAAAAAAATATGGTTCTGAAGAACCTAGGGGCAGGACAGGAATAAAGACTCAGATGTAGAGAATGGACTTGAGGACATGGGGAGGGGGAAGGGTAAGCTGGGACGAAGTGAGAGAGAGGCATGGACTTACATACACTACCAAATGTAAAATAGATAGCTAGAGGGAAGCAGCCGCATAGCACAGGGAGATCAGCTCGGTGCTTTGTGTCCACCTAGAGGGGTGGGATAGGGAGGGTGGGAGGGAGACGCAAGAGGAAGGCGATATGGAGATATATGTATATGTATAGCTGATTCACTTTGTTATAAAGCAGAAACTAACACACCATTGTAAAGCAATTATACTCCAATAAAGATGTTAGAACAAAACAAAACAAAACAAAAAACACAGTCTCTCTCATCAGGTGGTTTACAGTCTGTTAAGGAGAAGCAAGCTCTATAAACCCACCTGAAAATAAACCCTACTATAGAAGAGAGCAAATGGTTAAGAGCCTTGGATTTTATAAATGTTACAGTTCAGTGTAAGTAGGATCCTTTCCAACCAGGATGTCTTGGAAGTCTTTGAATATGCGAAATTTGATCTGGGCTTTAAGAGAACTGGGAATAGGCATGAGCAAAAGTGTTAAAATATCGGAAAGTGTTGGAGCCAAGAAAAGACATTTTCAAGAAAGAAAGATAAGCATTGTGTGAAGTACTAAGAGAAATCATTGAATGAATCATAACACTGAAGTCATCACAAGGAAGAAACAATTTAAAATATTATTTTACACAGATATAAAGAACAAACTAATAGTTACCAGTGGGGAGAGGGAAAGGGGGTGGGGCAAAATAGGGGTAAGGGATTAAGAGGTACAAACTGCGTATAAAATATACTGTGTATATAATACATAACCTACAGGGATATATAGTACAACACAGGGAATACAGCCAATATTTTATAATAGCTATAAATGGAATACAACCTTTAAAAATTGTGAATCACTATGGTGGACACCTAAAACTTACATGATATAGTACATCAACTATACTTCAACTTTTAAAAAATATTATTTTAAAGATAGCACCAACTTAAATTTTTAGTTCAATTTTTCTTCTTTTATATTGTTAATTTTTTCCCCAAAGTGTATGTAGCAAATATAAATACAAAATACTGATTTTCTACAAGTTACATACGTGAACTGTTCAGATTTTTCCTACTTCTACACACAACTTTATTTCTCTAGTTTTTTTTTTTAAAAAAAGGGGGGGCCCAAGTCTTGTATACTGCAGAAGAGATTTCCATACTATTGCTCGTGTTTTAAGTTCAGAGTTTTAGGCTCTTGGTCTGTATTATTAAGAGTCATGATATTGATAACATCTAATATTTATTAAACAGGTACTGTGCTAAGTGCTTTACATGCTATTTTAGTTAATGCTAGCTGCCGTAACAGATAAATCCCAGAATCTCAGTGGCTTAACAAAATCGAAGTTTATTTCTCACTTACGTAAAGTCCAAAACGAGTGTTTCTAACAGGCATAAAGCTCTCCTCCACACCGTGCTTCGGGACCAAGTTTCCTTCCATTTCCTGAAGATCGTGGTCCTGCCATCTTTAACAAGTAGCTTCTGCGGAAACTGCAGAAGTTGAAAGAACAAAGATCACAATGGGAGATTTTTGAGAGCTGAGCCTAGGAGTGACATGAATTTCTTTCTCTTACATTCCATTGGCCAGAATTCAGTCTTATGACCACAATTAACTGCAGGTGACGATGTGAAATGTGGTTTAGCTGATTATCCAGGAAAAAAAAGAAATGATTTGGTGAACAGTTTGCGAGTCTCTGCCACACATACATTTTTCTGCATTTAATCCTAACAACCCCGTTGGATATGTAGTATAATTTATAGCACTTTACACGTGAGGAAACTGGAATTTTGACAGGTGAAGTTCCTTACCTCACGGTTAATAAATGACAGAACTCAAATTCAAATCTAGGCAATCTAACTAAAAAACTATATTCCTTATCAAGTTAACTGCAATATGACTGAAATTCTTGTTACTGAAGAAGAATGTTTAGGCTTTTTTTAGTTATAGGAGAGGTATGACAATTTTAGAACTGTAAGTAACCCAAGCCCATCATTTTAGTGATGAAGTAATTGAGATCTAGAGGTAGAATGTCCTGTTGAAGGCTCAAATCACTGCTGCTCAGGTATCATACAACGTAAAGTACACTTTATAAGAAAATATAATCTTGACAAATTAATAACTTATGTCATACTTTCTAAAAGTTAACTTTCTAAAAGATAACTTTCTAAAAAGATTTAATGTAGTTAAATGCAAGCATTTAGATTTGCTGCTTGAAAAGGAAGCACAACACAGAGTAAGCCTGCCACCGTGTGGCATGAGCCAAACTTAACATCTGTTAAATGTTTTATTCCCATTTATTGTGTTTGCTTCTAGTTTATTTATTAACCAACCTAGATTTGACACTGTCTTTGATACGAAATTCAAACCCATCTATGGTAAGTGCTATAGGTTTAACTACTTTTTAATTTCAAGATACATTTCTTCATCCAACTCCAAAAATAACTGCAATATTTCCGATCCCGCTACAGGGGTGACCAACTTTTAAAAGGTCGCCCAGGCACTTCCACAAGAGGATTACTTACTTCAGTGCTTCACAAACAAGGAAACAAATTCAACAATTAGTAGGATTTGTCTCAGTCCACTCAGAAGTGAATCAATGAGCCAGATTAGAAGGCAGAATTCCCAATCTTACAATAGGGATCTCCAAGGAGTCTTCAAGTATGGATAAAACACCCCTAGGAAGAAGGAGAATCAGAATTTATACAGGAGTCACCATTTCATAGAGTTTTAGCAAGGCATAAGCTTAAGATGTTGTAACACGCCAGGCAGACATTTCCCTGCCCTCTCCCTGCATTTATCAAAATAAAAATGGTATCTAAAGTTGTTTAAAAGGCAACAGATCTAGCGGGTGACTAAATGGAAATCCGGTATTGCTGCTGCCTCTAACACTTGTTTCAAATGATTAGGGGTGGGGCATTGGTATTCATATCCTGATATAGTTTTTATATGTCCCTCTTTTCTTTCTTAAAGTCTTATTCCTACTTCTTTCTTTTTCTACCACGGCAAACTCTGAAATATCAATTTCACATATAACTCACCTGATGTGACTGGGGAAAGCAGTTAAAGGGAAGAAAAGTTTTCAATGTTTGAGGGTTTAAAAAACCCCACATCTTCCTTGTTTCTTTTCTTTTTTTACTTTTTTGGATGGAGGGTTCATGAGAATAAGCCCACACAATGGTATGTAAATTTGTTATTCCTACTAATGAGTTAATTGAGATGGGAGCATCAATTTAATCCAGTGACTGTGTGTCAGTAACTCTCTAGGGGAAAAAAAAAGTGTGTCAACGGAAATCCAAGCTTCTCTACACTCCAGATTTCTCCCCATCTCCTCACCTCCTCCAGCCTCCACATCTTTCCCAAGCATAGGTATGTAACAACCTCAAGAACACCACTTAGGCAATGTTTGCTAGGGGCCAAAAGTATCTGAGCAATCCTATGTTGTGTAAACACCCATTCTTTGGGGAATGCTCTGCCTTCCCTCCAGAGCAGCCATTGATCTCCCATCTTATCGATACCTGTGCAGCCACGTAAGATTGGCCTGGGGAAGCTGCAGCACTCCCTGTTCTAGAAAGGTCTCCTGCAGATTCTGCAAATCTCTAGGGTCACATAATTTCACCTGTGTTTTAGTATTATACTTCTTATTGCCTTCTCAGTATTTAATAAATTATTTTTTAAAATAGTAACAAAAGATAACCAAGGTAGACTTATATGTACTAACATGGAGAAACCACTGCAACATTGTTAAATGAAATGTTACAGATATCACAATTACATTAAAAAAAGACCTAATCAAACAAAACAAATAATAAAATATCTGTCTGCTCCAAAATATGTGAGTATATTATAGAAACATCACTGTAAAAATGTACATCAAACTGTGGATTCTGATTATCTCTAAGGAGGGGAGTAGTGATTTGGACGGTGAGCTTAGGAATTTCACCTTGTAGACTTTTATGTTGTTTGACACTCATACAGAAAAATATGTTCATCATACCTTATATAATGATTTTTAATGAAAGGAAGAGAATTGAAGTAAACACTCTGTTGCTTGCTGCCCAGAGTGACAGTAACTCATCTGGGAAATGTAGTAAAGTCTCAAGCGCTGATCTGAGTTTCTAAGACGTGACCATCCGAGCTCCTTCCTAACCAAGTGTTTTTTTTTCCTGTCAACTAAAAATACACTATCCAGTTCAGGGAATGTGGCTGACTGAATAGCAGCTGCCGCTGAGGACCTACTTTGCATATTAAAACAACCCTGGAAGATAAATAGCAAAACCTCCCTGTCATCAGTTCCTGTTTTGAGGCACGGCTGGAGCTCATCACACACGTCTGTCTTGGCCTCCACATTATCCTTCCTGCATATTTTCAGGAGACAGTCTCTGGCCACTGTTTCTTTTCCCCCTTAGTGTCAGGAAACTTCCTGCAAATATTGTAAAAGCAGAAGCTGAAGGAGCTTCAGTGCAAAGCTAACACTCTTCAGATCTTTCTTACACTGTTTCAGAAAGCAGATCACCCACTGCTGTTTCCTTTTCATGTGTTTTTTTTTAAACGACAAAGATCAGCTGCCAAGATACTATTTATGTTCAGAGTGAGAGAGAGAGAGAGAGTAAAAAGAGACAGGCACAAAAATTTCCCCTGACTCTGCCATGTTCTTTACTCAGTTATAACGAGATGGTGTTTCCGATAAAATGGAAACTAGAAACAGTGAAAAGTTCTGGAAGATGATCTGTGCTGTAAATGTAAAACACAAGCCAGTTAAAGTGATAATAACTCAAAGTACAATTTGTAATGCAAAATAAAGACATTTAAAAAGAGTCTTCTGCAATACTATATTCTATATCTAATTCTGTTACATGATGTCCTAGTCTCCATATACATGAATAATGTTGACTTCTTCCATTCATATGGCATGCAGATGCATTTTGAAATGTTTTTTAAAAAATAATGTAAAAAAAATAATGTGATAGACTGTACAGAGCACTGCTCATAGCTGCTCAGTAAAAACTGCACTGTAACTATAGAATATTAGAGCTGAACAAAATTTAGAGATGACCTAGTCCAACCTTCTTGCTTTACAGATGAGAAAACTGAGGTTCAGAAAGATTAAATAACTTACCCAAGGTAACAAGATAGAAAGTAGCAGATCTGGGGCTAGAATCCAGATCTCCTCGTTCTTCAACCTGCCTTCTTCCTTAATACATGATGGTGCCTCGCTAACCCAGCCTCGCTATCCTGCCCTGTCTCTCATTTGCAAGATAGCGAGCAAGAATTACTGCAGCATTTCCACTGATTTCTTATCTTTGGACTCGATGACCAGGCTACACAAGCAACCAAGTGTGAGCACCTGGGACATGCCTGCTGGCACACACACGCGTGTGCACACACACACACCGTTAGCTCATGTTAAAGAGATCTTGGAAGAAAGCATGTATGTAAGAAGACAACCCTCTACCATGGAATGCTGGGGAAATGCAGTCGACACTGTTGCCCACCCAACACTATTCCCACTTTCTTCTCACTAAGAATAGTGCAATTTTATTCAGCTATCGAGAGACAGAGACAGTACGCTCAGAGGTGAACCCTGCCTGGCCAAACCAAGTCATTTCATTCTCTTGGACAATGAGATATCAGATAAAATTGACTGGGAGGCTTTGGGGGAATATTCCTTCCTGATAAAATAAATACACACACACACATGCACACAAACACATGAGAAGACTGCCACCTTTCCCTTCCTCCTGCTTTTGAATTTGGTTGTGTGAGGATGCGAAAGCTTGGTGTTGCTGCACCAAGGAAAGGAAACATCACCCACAAGTTGATGCCAACGCAGAAATGTGGAAAGAGATTGGCTCCTGGATGGCACTGCTGAGCTGCTGAACCAACCTGGGACCTCCTCCCTCCTTACCTACGGTCGAGTGAGATCATAAGAAAACCTAGCTTCAGCCACTTGCAGCTGAAAGCATAGTTACTTTGCCTCTCTGAACCTCAGCTTTTTCTTAATAAAATGGTGATTAATGATACCTACCTGGCACAGTGGTCAAGAGGAGGAAATGAGATCATTAAACACCTAACATAAAGAAGCCAGTAAATGGTGCCTACCAGTACCATTACCATTATCATCATTACATCAAAATCCTCAACAGTGGGAATGCTTCCTCTATTCCCCAATCTCTGCGGCACCTGAAAGCTTTTCCCTACAACAGCGTCTGGGGACAGTACATCCAGCTACCACCTCCTCTCTGAAGGCTGAGGAACTCAAAGCATGGGTGCTTTGAGCCTGGGAACTGGAGGGCTGGACAGTCTGTAAAAGAAAAAAAGAAAAAGAAAAATCCAACTTGTAAAATCAAGGCGTAACTCGTAGTGCAACATGATGACATATTGTCAGATCTGAGCAAGCCGTAAAGCGTTCATTTCTTCCGTCCTAGAAATACCAACTCTGGCAATTCAGCCAATGGAAATAATCCAAATGAAGGAAAAACTTTATTCACAAAATCTTTAATTCAGCGTTATTTTAGAGTCATAGTATTTCTCCTTGATGTAATATAGTTATGAAGCCAACACAAAAGTTTTTAGTGGGGACTATGTAGGGGTAAGGCTGTGTAATTTTCTATATAGACTTAAATGAAATAAATCAGAATACAGACGGGTATGTACACTCTGGTTACACCCACGTGGAACAGCTATAATTAGGCCGGACTATAACTGGCAAACCGATTATTAAGTGCAACGGAACACAAGAAATAAGAGGGCTGTGGATTGTTGAAGAAACTCTGGCCAAAAAAGGGAGGAAAGATGAGAAAATATGAGTGATAGTAGTGGGGCACACAAAGGGCATTTGTCTTCTCTCCACTAAGGCCATTAGACGGATTTCAAAATAATCCAGGCGGCTGAGCCCAGAGCTGAAGGTGCGGGCAGCAGAGATGCAGATGTGGGCCCACAGCTATGCTCTGGGAAGGCCTCCCATCAGGAGTCCCAGGCCTAGGACACTCCACGTAGGCACTGGGGAATATGTACCAGGAAGTCAGCCCAGCTCTTCAGACGCTGTGAGGCAGGCACAGAGCATCCCAAACCCAGGATTTAGGGAACACAGGGAAGCAGCTTCCACAGGCCATTTGCAGAATAAATATTTCTTGTAGAATGTTTCCTATTGATTCACCCTCTGTTAGGAGAGCCTCATGTGTAGTTAAAGTACTAGAAAAGCATAGGCAGACAGAGTTCTGTGTTCTGGGAAGATCTGTGGAGGGCAATATATCAGCAATATCCCATGAAACCAATTGCCTAGGAAAAGCATGGAAAGGCACAGAGCTATCACAGATATATCTCTTTAAAAGGTATATGAAAAAATAAAATAAAAATATTTATATATTATAAATATCTTTGCAATTAGTGTCTACTGTACCTTATGCCTGATTTAGATCTTCATACACAAAAATTCCCACCCACGATGAATGTGGAGTTTTAGGGTGGTTGACTTGCTCCTGCACCTGTCCCCTGTGCAATACTGAGCATATGGTGGGACACTGTTCTGCTCCAAGGGGGCCCATAGGACACTAGAAGCCAGAATCCATGAGGGTGAGACTGCACACTGCCTTGAAGGAACAGACTTCACTGATCAGACAGCAAGAAGCTGTACCCTCTGGCTGTCACCATCTATGACTTCCGATGTGGGGTCCCCCATTGTCATTCCACCTGGCTCCCCCATGACTGGTCCTCACTCATCCTTTCCTCTATCCAACTATCTCCTCCTATGGGAGGGGCCCCAAACAGCAACTCACCTTTTGTTTTACATAACACATATTTTACAATGTCCAATATTTTAAAATCAAGAAATGAAAATCAGAAATGATAGAATCTACCTGCCCACATGGTCTTGAAAGAAAATCAATATAATGCTTTAACTAAAAGATAAGGAATAAATAAAAGGAAGGTAAATGTAGTAAGAGAATCTCTGTTTCCATCATAAGTGCTCAGGAATTTGAAATCTCTGGGGCATTCGAAAGCTGAATTCAAATTCAAGAAACGTTCTTTCTTGTGCAGAATTATCCTGGGCACTGTAGCACGTCTAGCATCTCTGGTCCCCACGCACTGAATGCCAGCAGTGTGCACTCACCAAACTTTCCAAGTGCTGCCACTGGGAGTCACTGGTCTCAGTTTATCCGTCGACCTTGTGCTCTCTGCCCACTTTCTCCAAGCCTGGGGAAAGCCTACCCATGGCCATACCTACCTGTAACCAGGTTCCCATAAACACACTGCACCTGTGGTAACCACCCCAAATTCAGATACACTGCTTAGGGCTCCACGGGAGTGCCTAATAAAGGATAGTCACAGATGGAGTTAAATGTCTGAGAGAATTTCCACTTTTAGCATGGTTGGAGTGTTGATTCCCACCACAATACCCCACTGGGGTATTTCACACGCCCCTCACATCACCCACTGGGGGTGGGGCTGCTGGCTGCAACCCCTCCCTGCCTCTCCCACTGACCCTTGACAGAGCCCATGCCTAAGAAAGTGATTAAGAGAAGATTTACTCAAGAGATTAAACGCCTCAGAGTATGTTACCATTTGGGGAAAGAAGGAAAGGAAAACCATGAAAAACTAATGCATCATACCTGCTTACATGTGCACAGACTGTCTCCGGGAAAATATCTAAGAAGTCGATGATGTGGGTTTCTTTTCCCAGGAAAGCACCTGCATGGCAGGAGGACAGGGGTGAGAGGGAAACTTCCTTGACACTCGACCCTTTTGTACCTTTTGAATTTTGTATGGAGAGCTTGAAAATATAAATGAATAAAACCTGATCTTCGGGGCTTCCCCGGTGGCGCAGTGGTTGGGAGTCCGCCTGCCGATGCACGGGACATGGGTTCGTGCCCCAGTCCGGGAGTATCCCACATGCCGCGGAGCGGCTGGGCCCGTGAGCCATGGCCGCTGAGCCTGCGCGTCTGGAGCCTGTGCTCCGCAACGGAAGAGGCCACAGCGGTGTGAGGCCCGCGTACCGCAAAAAAAACCCACACAAACTCCCCCCCAAAACAAAAAAAACCCACGTGATCTTCGAAAAATGCAGTCCTTGGAAACCAGTTACTTACTTGGGTATTGCCAAGTTGAGAAAGTGAGAGACTAGAGAAAGATGAGGCTGTAACAGACAGACAGAAAGCCAGGAAAAGGACGGCTGAAGGAGGAATTTGTCATGCAGCCCAGGAAAAGGACGGCTGGAAGGAGGAATTTGTCAGCGTTTCTCCAGCACTTTCCAGGGGAACAAAGCTCTGATTCTAGCACTTTCTCCCTTTCAACCTAACTGTAGAGAGGAGAAAAGAAAGCCGTCACCAGGCTCTGTTCCATGATAAACAGTCCCTTAAAATCCACCAACTTTCCATTGTTCCCAAACAGCCTGTTGGGACGCAGCTTCCACGGTTGATGTACTCACCTGTGCATCCGCCACGTCTCCCCTCCTCCCACACCTTCTCCAGGTGTGCTGCATGGAAAACTGGTCCCTGACCTTGGGCCGAATAGATCCCATTGGAAATGTAAGAAATAGCATTCTGGCCTATAAATCATTTCTTTGTGAGTGCAGAGAGTATGCCTTGATCCTCCGGGCCTGAATATCTGCCCAAGAATTGGCAAAAAATAGATTTCTAAACTCGTTCTCTGAACCATGGGGCGCTATCCAGTGGCCATCATGGGAAGTCCTAAGTTCTAGGGACAGTATAGGTGGGGCCCAAGACCCTTGTCTCTCCTGGTATCAGTGAGCCCAGCAGAGACACCCGTCTTTATTATAGTTCTAGAAGCTGCAGTCACAGGCTTACAGAGCTGCATGTCCCTCTCCAACCACGCCTCTGCTTTTGATGGCTCCCCTTTCCTTATTTCACAGTACTAACCTGGGACTAGGTCCCTGATGTGAGTAATTAGTGATGTGCCTTAATTTATGTAATCCTCCCAATAACCCTTCAAGTTAGGTACCATAGTATTATCATCATCTCCATTTTACAGATAAAGAAACGGAGGCACAGAGAAATTCAGGAACATGCATGAGGTGACACAGCAAATAAGTAGTGGAGACCAAGTGTGCCCCCAGATGGTCCCAAACCAAAACCCACTCTGTTACCTTCTGCTCTTCATTGCCTCCCAGGTCAGCGGCCCTTCTATCAGCAGCCCTTCTATACCTCCCCACACGAGGGCGTCCAGTGAAAAGCTTTCCTCCTTGCTGAGCCAAAGGGATGGGGTTGGAATGTACAGGGGTAATTCGGGCCACACGGCCTCCGGGTAAAACTAGAGCCCCATTCAACGTAATCGTAATCGCTGTTTCCTTGCTTCTCACCTTCTCCAGCTTATAGGGACCTTAGCCCTCAGGAAAGGCTCCTTTATTTCCAGGGGAGACTGGTCAGTGCTCAGGGGTCCTCCCCCTGAATGCCTGTCTAGACCCTAGAGGGCGATGTTTCTCTAAGAGCCTGACTGTCAGTACCAAAGCTGGGCTTCCAGATGGCATGCATGCTGGCCCTGGGGCCCCAGGCTTCCCTGGCATCCTCAGGGCAGGAGGCAGGGGGAGTGCCTCTCCCTTCACTGTGTCACCTGGGGGCACTTAGCACCCAAGCAGCCTGGTATGGTGCCTCTGAGCCCCTCAAGTCAATGGCTTCTTCAGTCTGCCAGACTCCCTTCTCCCCTGGGCTCAGACAAGGGGAACCAGGGCCAGAGTAGCATCCCTGGCCCCTCAGCCCCCATGCACACCTTATCCTTAGCCTGCTATATCCTTATCCTCTGCCGGTCCCAATCCTCCTACAAAGTCCTGGCAGATTCCTTGCAGGATTCCCACTGATTTGTCAGCCAGGCCTGGACAGGGCTGGGTCACGGCTTCATCTAACTGCCCAGCACATGCGTGAGATGGACAAGCCCCCCTCCAGACAGTCCTTTACCACTTTGAGACTGTGCACTTCCTTATAAAATCCAGTTTTAGCAAGAACCCTGCTAAGTCTGTTTAATGAGAATTTCCACCCTTGATATCTGACCAGGTTCCTCATTCTCCACCAACCCCCAGGTAATGTCTGATCACCCTGGCCTGTCTTTAGTGATGACTCTGTTAGGTCAGTTTAGCCAGAACCCCCCTTTCCGATGATGTCTCTTACTAATTTTCCATCCACTGACACCACAGCCCTAGGCTCCTTGGCTATAAATCAACAGGACACAGTGGTGCCCGGGTTTCTGATTTTTTCCCAATCGCTTCCTCCTATTAAAATATAGCAGCCTAATGACAACCGTTACAATAAGGTGTTTGCCATTTGCAAAGCACTTTCTCCATGAGTAACACGACATGATGAAAGAGAAAGAGACGAATTATAAATCTCAGCAAGACCATGAGCAAATAATGTATCCTGTCTGAGCCTGTTTCTTCGTTGGTAAGATGAGAGAATCACACGCCCCAACCTGGTTCTTGACATTGTAATGAAAGAATGTGCCAGAAAGGAGAACTGTCATTGGTTACGAGAACCAAATCACTGGAGCTCCAGATGCATATCAGAATCTGCTACAGAAACAAGGGCTTCTGACTGGCCAACTTTTTGAAAATTCTATTTTCTGAAGGCATCATTTTTACTGGGAGAAACATAATTACACTGTTCAAGAAAAAAATTTAAGCAATGAGCTTAATCACGCATAGTTCTACCCATTAACACAACTTTTTGATTTTTATGGTTTACCTTCAGTATATATATATATATATATATATATATATATACCTATTTTGGTTTACCTTCAACATTTAAACCTATTTTTTAAGGATGTTTTTAATCCTACTAGGCAGTTTTTAAGCACATATGCATCTCAGCAACTGACAAACTATCCAGGCACCAGAAACACACTGAGGCATGAGCTGAAGGAAGAGGTCTGATTCTCAGATTTCTCCACCGAGGGGATCCCAGGATTGTGAGAGGAAGAGCAGGAGATCAGCGGACCACGGCACGGTGCTGACCTGGGTGCCCTCCCTCCTGCATATGGAGTCTGAACGGCCAAGAACCGGGGAGTCGGCTCTGGGCCTGGCTGGGGGCATCTTTGTGGCACATCCTCAGCAGGACTGCTCTGCTCAGGGAGCCCCGGGGTGAGGGCGGGGCTGCGGAGCCTGTGCCCCGCCCCCAAGCATCTGGGGAAAGGAAGCACAAAAAGGGAGAACCGGCCACAGTCACTGTGCTCGTTTCCCATCTCGCTCTCAGGACTGAGCGCAGCTGCAGGTGGAAGACCACCACAGAGGGGGAGCTTTCGGCCGCAGCCTAATAACACTGAGGTAACTTTAATTTCACTCTTCTACCCCTGGCATGAGGAATGAACAGAGGCTATCTTATTTTCCTCCAGGGGCAGCTGAAATATACTCCCCTGGGTGTGAGATGTCCCTCCCCCTGTTCCAGCTAAGTTTTCCCTGGACTAAGGTGGGAACAGGTCTTAGTCTTAAGATTTGAGATTCTTGAAAAACCTGTGTAATGTCCTGGAGGTAATTTACCTTGGTAAGACACTGGAGGAAACCACTTTGCTCTGAGCCGTACATGTGTCCAAGGTCAACAGTATTTATAAATAGCCACTGTTTACAGGATGCGGCCTGGTCCTGTGGGGGGCGGGGGCCAAAGGAAGCAGAAGTTACCGTGAGCCGACTGCCCTCCTCCATCAGTGCACTGACCCCAAGATAGCTTCCCCTTCGGGGTTTAGGCTTACAGGAGGAAAACAGAGGCTAGAAGCCACAGACCTGCAAGAATTGAAACATCTTTCAGTTTGTCTAACTGGAACTTCGTTGTGCCTCCTTGCTTTAACTACCAAGGAATGTGAGCCCACATTCCGTGTCTTTTAGGGGGAGGCCCTGCCCTCTTCTCTGCAGCGGGCACCCCCCAGAGATAGGTCAGCGGATGCTGACTCACACACCCCTACTTCCCTGCCCTTTCGAAGCCCAGGCCTTTGTTTGAAATATGACACTGTAAAGATACTTTCCTACTTGGGCGTAGAAGCTCCTCTCCCACGTGCCCGCAAGGATTTGTGTTTCTTCTGAAAAGAATGGCTGATGTGTGCACCCGGCCTTTCTCCCCTAGGGTCTGGCAGTGGCCCCCATGGGGTCTGTGAACTCCCGAGGTCACAAGGCAGAAGCCCGGGTGGTGATGATAGGCCTGGACTTGGCCGGCAAGACCACGCTCCTGTACAAACTGAAGGGCGACCAGCGGGTGGAGACCCTGCCCACCGTGGGTTTCAACGTGGAGCCTCTTGAAGCCCCTGGGCACGTGCCTCTGACCCTCTGGGATGTCGGGGGGCAGAGCCAGCTCAGGGCCAGCTGGAAGGACTACCTGGAGGGCACGGACGTCCTCATTTTCGTGCTGGACAGCACAGACGAAGCCCGCTTGCCCGAGGCAGAGGCTGAGCTCACCGAGGCCCTGGCCGACCCCCACCTGGCCAGCGTGCCCCTCCTGGTGCTGGCCAACAAGCAGGAGGCACCCCACGCCCTGCCGCTGCCTGAGATCAGAGACAGGCTGGGCTTGCAGAGGTTCCAGGGGCACTGCTGGGAGCTGCAGGGCTGCAGCGCCCTCACCGGAGAGGGGCTGCCCGAGGCCCTGGAGAGCCTGAGGCGCCTCCTGAAATCCAGCAACCACTGTAACTCCAGGTGAGCGCAGGGGGCAGGCTGTGGGGAGAGCCAGAGGCCTTGACCAGGGCAGAGCAGCCTGTCTTCTTCG